AGACCATGTTGCTGGACAGCCAATATAAGGTGTCTATTTCACCAAGGCAATGATGTAGACACCATCCTCCTCCGCAATAAAGAAGATAAAAACGTGGGACCCAGAGCTCCATGTGGCCACCTATTAAGATATTTTTGGCGCTTAGAACTTTTTTAATGATCATCTAAATAGTTAGGGAAAAGAGGTAGGATAAAGTAAGAGGCAATCTGTAAGATACAACTTATTTTGTAATATACATTTTGAATGCATTGTGGCTGCAATTTATGTCTTTTTGTAAAAAAATGTTAGCAGTACACAACACAAAATTGGATAAAAAACAAACTTGGATTAAAAAAAAAATTAGTCTACCTGAATAACTGTTGCAGATTATAAGTGTATATATGTTATAAATAGTAGATTATGCCACCCTCGTCTTCTCATAGGCTACCACTTCAGAGCAGTTAGGCTTCATATGGTGTACTATTTTCTTGGTTTTTATCTATTGAAAATATAATACTTTTATACTACCAGATTTTCCTTCTACTTTAGTTCTGAGGTACCGTCATAGGTCCAACAGAACAAACTGGACTGTGAAAGTGATGTGCTACTGGTGAGCCATTGTGTGTATGATGTTATTTACATTTATCCTGATTAGATATTGTTCATATATTCTGTTTGCTTCTCCAGTATAAAAACCTTGCATGAATATGTACAGCACACTGGTGTAGGCACAAGAGAATTTTAGTTCTTTTCTTTTGTTGTAAGGCTGATACTTCTCCTTGACAGTTACAGAAAGTGCATTAATTTCTTATACTTTGTTACACAGAACTGTGTCTTTTCCTCTGAATCTGGAAAGAGCACTCCTAGCAGGTTTTATTCCCTTATATTTGTTAGTTAGACATCTGAGAATATTTAAATGGGGTAAAGGTTACATAAGTATAACATTCACTGCCATAAAAAAAAACACTTTTACTTGTAGGTATTTATTGTTTTTTTTTTTTTTTTGATTATTTTTGATTAGTTTTCTTTATCAATATATCAATGTACTTTATAAATATACAGTGCCTTGGTGGCACAGCTGACATTACAATATGTTTCTCTTCTGTCAATAATATTGTGCAGTTGTTAGTAGCGGGAATCAATGTTAAAAATATGATTCCATCTGCAATAACAGAATAATATAATTGTTTAAAACATGTGAGAATGGCAGTTATACAATACAGGACCAAAGGGGAAAGTAATAAGACCTAGAGCAATCTGCTTTTACAGCTTTATCAGGTTATCTCAGGCTTGGCAAAGCAAACTGTGCCACCATGTGGTCAACAATTACACATTTATTGCAATTAGAGGGAACATCATGAATTAACAATTTATTTCTGCACAGAGTAGATCAGTATGCTACTGTCACCATAAAATACATCAGTTTAACTTTTTTTGTAAGTATCATTGACTATATTCATTTGTGTGAAATGGCTACTTCCTAAATCTGTTCAGAAATGTTTGCATAATCATTGCAACAAGTACAATTGTTCAGACCAGGGGCGGACTGACCATTCGAGGACTCGGGCACTGCCCGAGGACCCAGGGTTCAGTCAGTAGGGGACCCCATGAGATGCTCCTGGTACAATTTTCATTGGCTGTTTTTTTCATAGGCTAAGATTTTTTGGGGGTTGAAAAAACTGTGTGGGTGTGGACATTATAACATTTGGGGCCTTTAATGCTAAATGTAAGCCATGATCCCTTTTTGCCCGGGGGCCCCATGAGTTTTCAGTCCGTCCCTGGTTCAGACAGTACAAGCCATACCTCAAGATGATGAATTATTATGAAAGTTTGAAACTAAACAAGACACTTTGTCACCTACAATTTCCCATAATAATATATATTTGCACAGAAGTTGTACAGGTATATCACCTTCTCAGAGACCATGATTGAAGATATCAGGTAATGTTACAATATAAAATGAAATTGAGAAAAACAAATCCATTCTAAATCATCTCTTAAAGCAGAGGGTGTCCAACCCAAAGGCCACATGTGGCCCAAGATGGCTCTGCATGCAGCCCAACATGAAATTGCAAACTGAACAACTAGAGGGATACTGGGGATGTCGTGTTTGGCATGGCATGCATGGCTATGGGACAGAAAAGCAGGTCCCGGGCACATCAGGAGGGATGCTGGGGATGCTGTGTTTGCTATAAAACCGGCAGCACATGGAGGGACTCCCGCTAACCAAGTAGATTGTAAGCTCAAAAGAGCAGGGCCCTTGACCCCCTCGTGTTTTGTTACTGTATTGTCTCATGTTCTGTCCCTCACTATAATGTACAGCGCTGAGCAAATCTTTTAGCGCTATATAAATAATGTATAATAATATAATAATAAGTGCCACATGGGGGGGTGCTGGTGTAGGCTGCACCCCCCTAAGATTTCATTCAAATAGATAGGTGGACTGTTGTAGATAAACAATCCATTGAAATTACACTGTGGGAGGCATCATCCATATGTGAAAACAAAGACCAATGGGACTTTAAAGCGTTACTAAACCCAGGACCCTGCATTCATTATATCTGTCTCCCCACAGTACACAGAACATGGAAATGCAATTTTTTTAGTAAATATAAACTACTAAATACCTTTTCTCATCAGCAGTTAGAGCGGTATTGTGGCTTCTATCAGTGTTCAGCAGAGCACTGGTTAAAGCTCGTAGGAGGAGTTTTCTCTAGGAGGATGCAGAACCCTTGACCTCTGTCTGGGCAGTGTTCATTGGCCCTGTTCTAATCACATGCACTCTCCCAAGAAAAAAAAAACACTCTAGCAATTCACACCAAATTGAGTATGTGCAGGGTCTCCACATGATATGGCTTATCAGGAGATAACAGGTAGACACTGGAAGAATGGGAGGATCAGAGAAGTCAGGATCAAACAACGTTTTTTATACAATGAGGAGGATTAAACCCTTGGTTTCCACAGTGAGTATAACAAGCATGCTTTACTGCATATACAGACTGATTTTACTGTTGTGGGTTTAGTGACACTTTAATTATGCCTCCCGTAGTTAAAATGACAGCTGTATAAAATTGCTTCTGCTATTTTTATTAATACCAAAAATGTTTTAGTCCTCATGGAATTTTTGTGGATTTTTTTTGTATTAATAAAATAGCATAAGTAATTTTAATCAGCTGTTGTTTTCAATACTAGAGGCATAATTAAAATTCCGTTGGTCTTTGTTTTCACATATGGATGATGCTATAGCATAATTCAATGAATCGTTTATCTCAACACTCCACCTATGTGAGTTTTTACAACACTGTCAAATATCACACCAGTTTTATGTTGCCCTCATTTACTTTTATTATGATCTGTCCAACTTTTTCTGCCAATCAGCTATCCTTATTTTTAGTGCATTTTATGTGGGGCCTAAGACAAATTATCTTCTTCCAGTGCGACCCAGGAGAGTCAAAAGGTTTAGGACACTCCTGTCTTAAAGATTCTTACCTATTCTGGTTGTGTACATCCTGATGCAGACACTTTTGAATTTTTCATAATCTGACAAGAGGGAATGTCCACCTTTATTACAACCCCAGGCAAAAAGTATGGAATCACCACTCTTACAAAATGTTCATTCATTTGTTTAATTGTGTAGAAAAAAAAAAAAACTAATCACAGACATGCCTCAAAACTATTTTCATTTAACATTCCAATCTTTAGCTCAAATTATAAAATTGCTTGTTTAACAGTACTTTATGTAATTAATAACTTTTAATGAGTTTCCCCTTAAAGCTTTCCATTGGTTTCATTAGGCAGACTACCAAAATTCAGTTTTTCCTATCCTGATCCTTTCAACAATTAATTTTGCTACCTAGCTCTCTTCTAAATCTCAGCAAATTCAGTTGTGTTTCTTTCCCCTGCACTGAAAGTAGAGCAATTTGCCAGGAAAAGTTCTGCCGCAGGCCCATCTGCTTCATTTAGGGCTCCTGGTGCAGCTATTGATGCCAAGCTGCTGTGCTTCTAGTTCCATATAAAAGAAGCACACCATGGGGGGGGGGGGGGGGGGGGAGATTTACTTAGTCCTCATGCACACTTGACATTTTTACAGCTGCTGTTTTTGGCTTTTGACATTTTTTCCTATGTGTCCATGCACACATAGACTAATCAACGTTTTTTGGCTGGAAAAAAAACCCAGGACTAGTGGGTTTCTAGAGGAGTTTTTTAGCTGTAAAAACACTCAAACTCTGAAAAACGCTGCAAACCCACAATTGTGGACTTTTTTTGACCAAAAAATAAGAAAAAAAATTGGTAAAAAACACAGCTAAAAAACGCTAAAAAATGCAAACACGAAAAAGTGGGAAAACGCCGCTAAACACGGCAAAACGCCAATGCAAAAACACTAAAAAATCTGAAAAACTCACATTTTTAATGTGACTTTACGCAGCTAACATTACCAGCGTTATCAAAATATCCAGTGTGCCTGAGGGCTAAAACTGGTGCACGCAGAATATGGTACAGCTGTGCATAGTAACTGAAAGGATTAACCACTTGCCTACCAGGCACTTATACCCCCTTATTTACCAGGCCAATTTTCAGCTTTCAGCGCTGCCGCACTTTGATTGACAATTGCGCGGTCATGCAACATTGTACCCATATGAAATTTTGATCACAACTCACAAATAGAGCTTTCTTTTGGTGGTATTTAATCGCCACTGGGCACTTTACTTTTTGCGCTATAAATAAAAAAAGTGCAAAAAATTAGAAAAAAAAAAAAAAAAGTTTCTTTGTTTCTATTATAAAATTTTTCAAACAGGTATTTTTTCTCCTTCACTGATGTGCGTTGATGAGGCAGCACTGATGGGCACTGATAGGCGGCACTGGGCACTGATAGGCAGCACTAAAGGGCACTGATAGGCAGCACTAATGAGGTGGCACGGATAGGCGGCACTGATAGACAGCACTAATGAGGTGTCACGGATAGGCGGCACTAATATGCAGCACTGATAGGCGGCACTGATAGGTGACACTGATGATGGGTACTGATAGATGGCACTGACTGGCATCACTGCTGGGCACTGACTGGCGGCACTGACTGGCACAACCCCTGGGCACTGACTGGTGGCACTGACTGGCAGCACTGCTGGGCTGCACTGGTGGGTGGCACTGGTGGGCAGCACTGGTGGGTGGGCACAGGTGGGTGGCACTGGTGGGCACAGGTGGGTGGGCACAGGTGGGTGGCACTGCTGGGCACAGGTAGGTGGCACTTCTGGGCACAGGTGTGTGACACTGCAGAGTGGCACAGGTGAGTGACAGTGCAGAGTGGCACAGGTGTGTGACACTGCAGAGTGGCACAGGTGGGTGCACTGCTGGGCACGGGTGGGCGGGTGGGCGGAGCTTGTGGGCGCACTGCTGGGCACAGGTGGGCGGAACTTGTGGGTGGCACTGCTGGGCACCGATCATCAGGGCACTGATCATCAGTGGCCCTGATGATCGGTGCCGATCCCCGCTCTGACAACTGCCGGTTCTCGGCAGTACTTTCCTCACGATCTGACAGCGTGAGGAAAGTGCAGCTGAGAACCGGCACTTGCATTTCCCTCTGATCAGCGTGTCATTGGACACCGCTGATCACGTGCTAAAAGGCCGCTGTGATTGGCCTTTTACCACATCACGTGATCAGCTGTGTCCGTAGGACACAGCAGCGATCACGGAGATCGCCGGGTGCGCGCCCCCTGGGGGCGCTGGAGAGCTCGTTCTGGGAGGACGTCATATGACGTCCACTCAGAACTGGCCGGCCGCAGTGCAGCCGTCATTCGGCTATCTGCAGTCGGCTACTAGTTAAATAGAATATAACTGAATCCATTTTGTATACACTAATACAAGATGCTAGTTTAACATACATATATATGAAGTTTGTACACACTAACAAAACTGTCTATGCCAGCTTCATGTAGAAATTAGTGTTTTTGCAAACTTTATAAAAAAGGAGATAAGCTTTACTCTCATTTCTGAAAAGTTGTAACCACAGCTTGGGCGTGGGGTCAGATTATAGCCATGGTCTGGGTGTTAGACCAGATATGGCATGATAGATAAAGCAGAAGAGTGAAAATGCAAACCTCATACAAATAATTGTTGAGTTAAGGTAAAAAAATGTACATGTATTTGATTGGATGGTCTGAGGGTGTGTTTGCCCAAAGACTACAGTATAAAAACCCTGATGTTATGCCAATAAAACTGAAGTGTTTGCAATCGCAACTGAGGTGACTTGAGTGCATTCACTTTCCGAGATGTCGTGTAGCTGTGTCCAGGTGTGACCATTGGTATCTTGAGGGGGCGCCAAAGGAACAGGACAGAGACCACCTACCTACTTGCAGTAACCAATCAGCTTCTAGGTTTTATTGTCAAAGCTTAAAGTGGTTGTAAAGGCTGAAGGTTTTAAGGTTTTTTACCTTCATTCACTCTATGTATTAAAATAAAAAGCCTTTGGTGTGCAGCATGCCCCCCCAGTCTCCCCCCAATACTTACCTGACCCTGATCTCCATCCAGCAATGTGCACAAGAGCAGCAGTTCTCCCGGGTCTCTCACTCTTCATTGGCTGAGACACAGCAGCGGGAACCATTGACTCCTGCTGCTGTCAATCACAGCCAGTGAGGGGGGTCCGGGGGGGGGCAAGCCATGCTTTGTTTGTCTTATAGAAGTGGTTCAGGAGGTGGCTCAGGAGCTAGAATGCACTGCGCGATCCCAGCACAAAGACCGCGGTGTCCCTGAGAGCCACGGGTCCCATTCTAACAATTGGGACCCGGAACTCCCGATTCTGGGTCACATGATCGCTGTGATAGCCTCCAATTGGCTATCACAGTGATCAGTCACTGTGCAGCCCTGCCCCCTTGTTTTTTCTCTCTCTATGAATACATTGTATCTCAAACTCCTGGCATAGAGAGGAAAAAAAAAAAAAAAAAAAAAAAAAAGATAAATAAATAAATGTAAAATAAAAAAAAATCAGGTCAGGGTCAAAGGTCAAGGTCAAAAGGTCAGGGTCAAAGGTCAGGATTTAAAAAAATTGGTATCAGTGTCAGTTAGTGTCAATGTCATTGTCAGTGTGTTTTAGGTAAAAAAAAAGACAAAAACAAAATGAGCACAATTGTTTCTGGGCTGTACGTGTACAAACAACAAATAACATACACATATATGGTATCACTGCGATTGTCAAGAGCTGTAGAATTTATTTTGGGTTGTTCTTTGGTGGTAGGTTATGGTAGTAACAAGAAACACACAGCTAAATATAAAAAAGTATTTGTTTTTTTACTATTTTGTGCCAGTTTTCCTTTGATAATAAAAAAAAATCAGGAGATATCCATTACGATTTACCACCAACTGAAAGCCCAACTTGTCCTGAAAAAAACACAAAATAATTCACCTCATGGTACAAAGTAGTTGTGATGATATGTACGGTTTTGCTAACACATGTCAAAGTTGCTTCGGCATTTAGATTTGTTTTATCCTTAGGTGTGAAGGGGTTAATGGCATGTCACCTGCACTGGAAATCGCACACTGTAGTGTGGTTTCCAATACAGGCTACAATTTCTGGAAAGGTGCAAGGACTTTTTTTTTTTTTTTTTTTTTTTTTTTTTTTTAAGTTAACTTTAATCCACCTCAGATGTCAGATGAGGAATACAGATTTTTTTTGTTCATACCTTAATGCAAAAAGTATATATAACAACTAAGCTGCATAAAAAGATATCATGATAATTGCTAGCTAATATGTGAAGATTGTGCTGAACTTTTGGGGACTGCTAAACTAGCTTTATTCTGCTTACAAATTGTGTTAAACATTTAGATGTCATACATCATAGACTGGGAAACTGTAGGCAAGAGTAAGAAAGAAAAGAGAGAACATGAACATACTACATTATCTTAGAAATGAAAGTTCCCTCTTGTGACATAAAAAACTAACAAAAGTGTGGCATTTAAGATGATGTAAGGATGTTGATGGGCAGAGTTCAGCAATGGCAATATAGGAGCAGCACATGATATTATGATATTATGCATTCATCAGCAGTCTCTCACAGAAGGATCTCAGTGCTCCAATGTCCAAAGGTTTACAACTCTTCAAAGAGCATAGCATGCGGGGCATTTATCTAGATTTATAACCTTTTTAAGTCACAAAAGCTAAAAATTCTGTCCAATGAATATTTCACCTGTATTGCCTTCTCAAGGCATACAAATATTTTTTGTGTTAAAGTGGAATTCCAGCCGTTTTTTGTGTTTATTAAAAGTCAGCAGCTACAAAAACTGTAGCTGCTGACTTTAAATAAAAACACACTCACCTGTCCCAGGGTCTAGTGATGTACTCACCTGCGCCATCCCTTCTCTCCTTCTTTCCACGGCGCCGGCATGTCATCTGTGGGCACCAGGCTGTGAGGATGTTGGATGACGAAATGCGTAGGGCGGGGCTTAGTGGATGTGACGTCAGGACGCTCCTCGAGACTGTCGGTGGTGGTATCGCGGTGAGCGAGGCTCGTCCTTGCTTTCTCGAGGCTGTTAATGCTGGTGTCGGCTAGACACCCTGTTTGTGAGTGCATACCCAATGTTTTAATAAAGCATTTTTTTGTTTTAAAACGTACTGCACCATTATATATTTCTTTGATTCCCCAAGCATTACCAATGATTGTGGAGACATGATGACTACCTGTTGTTAAGGCTGTTCCATATTGTGCTGATTGGCTACTTGCAATATATTGCTTCCGACTTTTGGATACTCCTGCAGATCATCGCTCCTAGAGCAAACACTATTTTGCTGATTTATAATGTGATCAGCATTTAGCTCTGGTGAGTTTACCCATTTCATTCGGTGGTGGATTTTTGCACGGTGTTTTGTGTTTGATTTATACAAGATTGCAGAATCAATTATCACTTGTGATGGTGGATGGACTTATATAATCACGGACATTACGTTTGATGTTCTATTATTTATTTTTTGATGTTTATTCATTATTTAGCGCATTCCTTGATTTATTTATATTCTAAGTGATCAATGACATTTGGAAAGAGCAGCACCACTACCAACTGGATTGGATCCATTTGTTGATTACAAGGAATAATGACATCATCCTAAAGGTCAGTTTGGCAGTCTGCATGGTACGTGTCAAGTTGCATTCTTACGAATGGCAGGACTCACAGTTTCCCAGCACAAATTTGCCCAATGCATCACACTGCCTCTGTCAGCTTGCTTTCTTCCCATACATATCTGGTGATATCTCTTCCCCAAAATATGCAACGCATATGCACCCGCCCATCAATATAATATAAAAGAAAATGTGTTGCATATGACCTTCTTCCAGTGCTCTGTGGTCCAGTTTTGATGCTCACATGCCCATTGTAGGCACTTTTGGCTGTGGACACATGGGTCAGCATGGGCACCATCACTGGTTTGTGGCTATGGCTGTCCCATATGCAACACACTACAATGCACATTTTTTTCTGCTTTCAGCACGTCAACTTCAGGAAGAACATGCTTACTTGCTGCCTAACATATCCCACCAACTTTCAGATGCCATTGCAATGAGACAATCAATGTTATTTACTTAACCATTCAGTGATCATAAGGTTATGGTTGACTGGTGTAACTGAATAATGCACATATTTTAAAATGTGTCCATTTTCAGGAATATTGTCTTTGTAATACCAAAAACCTTTAGAGCAGTTTTAAAGGCATGTTTTATTCATTAAAACAACATATATGTTATACTCACTATTGTATTGTAAAGAACAGCACTGAACCCCCTCTTCTGTGTTCCCCTGCTGGTAATTTTAACTTCTGTGTCTGCCCCCATAGCAAGCACTTCCTATGGGGGCAGAAGTGCAGGCTCAATTCCGAGCCAGACTGTGTGTGTACATTGACACATACAGTGCAGCTCGGGCCCACCCCCTGTTCTCTGTTCACAGAATTTGACTGTCAGCAGCAGGAGTCAATGGCTCCCTCGTTATATCTTATAGCAATTTTTCTCTTAGGATCAAGTGTTACGGAATGTTACATTCACCTAGCTAAAGGCAACATAGAAACTATTACACACATTTTATAAACATTATGGGTATTATTCGCTACCCTTGGAAGACTGTTAAGACATTTGCAAATCGATTTTTTTTTTTCTTTAACCACTTGCCGACCGCGCATAGCCGAATGACGGCTGCACCGCGGCCGGCTAGTTCTGGGTGGACGTCATATGACGTCCTCCCAGAACGCGCTCTCCTGCGCGCCCCAGGGGGCGCGCACCCGGCGATCTCCGTGATCGCTGTGTCCTACGGACACAGCTGATCACGAGATGTGGTGAAAGGCCGATCCCACCGGCCTTTTACCACGTGATCAGCGGTGTCCAATGACACGCTGATCACAGGAAAATGCAAGTGCCGGTTCTCGGCTGCACTTTCCTCACGCTGTCAGATCGTGAGGAAAGTACTGCCGAGAACCGGCAGTTGTCAGAGCGGGGATCGGCACCGATCATCAGGGCACTGATGATCAGTGCCCTGATGATCGGTGCCCAGCAGTGACCCCCGCAAGTTCCTCCCAGCAGTGCGCCCACTAGCCCCGCCCACCCATGCCCAGCAGTGCCCCCACCTGTGCCCAGCAGTGCCCCCACCTGTGCCCCCACCTGTGCCACTCTGCAGTGCCACCTACCTGTGCCCAGAAGTGCCACCTACATGTGCCAGCAGTGCCACCCCCTGTGCCCACCCACCTGTGCCCACCAGTGCCACCCACCTGTGCCCACCCACCAGTGGTGCCCACCAGTGCCGCCCACCAGTGCAGCCCAGCAGTGCTGCCAGTCAGTGCCACCAGTCAGTGCCCAGGGGTTGTGCCAGTCAGTGCCGCCAGTCAGTGCCCAGAAGTGATGCCAGTCAGTGCCGTCTATCAGTACCCATAATCAGTGTCACCTATCAGTGCCGCCTATCAGTGCTGCATATCAGTGCCGCCTATCCGTGACCCCTAATTAGTGCTGTCTATCAGTGCCGCCTATCCGTGCCACCTCATTAGTACTGCCTATCAGTGCCCTTTAGTGCTGCCTATCAGTGCCCATCAGTGCCGCCTATCAGTGCCCATCAGTGCCGCCTCATCAACGCAAATCAGTGAAGAAGAAAAAATACCTGTTTGAAAAATTTTATAAAAGAAACAAATAAACTTTTTTTTTTTTTTTCAAATTTTTTGCACTTTTTTTAATTTATAGCGCAAAAAGTAAAGCGCCCAGTGGCGATTAAATACCACCAAAAGAAAGCTCTATTTGTGAGAAAAAAATGATCAAAATTTCATATGGGTACAATGTTGCATGACGGCGCAATTGTCAATCAAAGTGCGGCAGCGCTGAAAGCTGAAAATTGGCCTGGTAAGGAAGGGGGTATAAGTGCCTGGTAGGCAAGGGGTTAATAGAGAAGGTTCTGCGATGTCTGTGGAAACATTTTTTACATTAAAGTGTTACTAAACTCAGGATCCTGTATTCACTATATCTGGTCTTTCACAATACACAGAACATGGAAATGCAATTATTTTAGTAAATATAAAATTCCTGTAGGAGAATGCAGGACCCCTGACCTCTGTCTGGACAGCACTAATTGGCCCTGTGCTGATCACATGCACTATCCCCCGAGCCTCTGTTCTGTCAGGAGATAAGAGGGGGACACTGAAAGAAGGGGATGATCAGAGAAGACAGGATCAAACATCCTTTTTACCCAATGCAGAGGATTAACCCCATAGGTTCCACAGTGAGTATAACAAGCATGCTTTATTGCATATACAGACTGATTTTACTGTTGTGAGTTTAGTAACACTTAACATTTAGTGGCTTGTGACAGGAATGGTTGTGGACACAAATACAGTGGGGCAAAAAAGTATTTAGTCAGCCACCAATTGTGCAAGTTCTCCCACTTAAAAAGATGAGAGAGGCCTGTAATTGGCATCATAGGTAGACCTCAACTATGAGAGACAAAATGAGAAAAAAAATCCAGACAATCACATTGGCTGATTTGGAAAGAATTTATTTGCAAATTATGGTGAAAAATAACTATTTGGTCAATATCAAAAGTTCATCTCAATACTTTGTTATATATCCTTTGTTTCCAATGACAGAGGTCAAACATTTCCTGTAAGTCTTCAAAAGGTTGGCACACACTGTTGCTGGTATGTTGGCCCATTCCTCCATGCAGATCTCCTCTAGAGCAGTGATGTTTTGGGGCTGTCGCTGGGCAATACAGACTTTCAACTCCCTCCAAAGGTTTTCTATGGGGTTGAGATCTGGAGACTGGCTAGGCCACTCCAGGACGTTGAAATGCTTCTTACGAAGCCACTCCTTCGTTGCCTGGGCGGTATGTTTGGGATCATTGTCATGTTGGAAGACCCAGCCACGTTTCATCTTCAATGTCCTTGCTGATGGAAGGTGGTTTTCACTCAAAATCTCACGATGCATGGCCCCATTCATTCTGTCCTGTACATGGATCAGTCGTCCTGGTCCCTTTGCGGAGAAACAGCCCCAAATCATGATGTTGCCACCCCCATGCTTCACAGTAGGTATGGTGTTCTTTGGATGCAACTCAGCATTCTCTCTCCTCCAAACACGACGAGTTGTGTTTCTACCAAACAGTTCTATTTTGGTTTCATCTGACCATTTGACATTCTCCCAATCCTCTTCTGGATCATCCAAATGCTCTCTAGCAAACTTCAGATGGGCCTGGACATGTACTGGCTTAAGCAGGGGGACACATCTGGCACTGCAGGATCTGAGTCCCTGTCAGCGTAGTGTGTTACTGATGGTAGCCTTTGTTACGTTGGTCCCAGCTCTCTGCAGGTCATTCACTAGGTCCCCCCACGTGGTCCTGGGATTTTTGCTCACCGTTCTTGTGATCATTTTGACCCCACGGGGTGAGATCTTGCGTGGAGCCCCAGATCGAGGGAGATTATCAGTGGTCTTGTATGTCTTCCATTTTCTAATTATTGCTCCCACAGTTGATTTGTTCACACCAAGCTGCTTGCCTATTGCAGATTCAGTCTTCCCAGCCTGGTGCAGGTCTACAATTTTGTTTCTGGTATCCTTTGACAGTTCATTTGTCTTCACCATAGTGGAGTTTGGAGTGTGACTGTTTGAGGTTGTGGACAGGTGTCTTTTATACTGATAACAAGTTCAAACAGGTGCCATTGATACAGGTAATGAGTGCATGACAGAGGAGCCTCTTAAAGAAGAAGGTACAGGTCTGCGAGAGCCAAAAATCTTGCTTCTTTGTAGGTGACCAAATACTTATTTTCCACCATAATTTGCAAATAAATTCTTTCCAAATCAGCCAATGTGATTGTCTGGATTTTTTTTCTCATTTTGTCTCTCATAGTTGAGGTCTACCTATGATGCCAATTACAGGCCTCTTTCATCTTTTTAAGTGGGAGAACTTGCACAATTGGTGGCTGACTAAATACTGTTTTGCCCCACTGTATGTTCATAAAAAAAGTTGTAAAAAGCCCAACAATTACAGCTTATTCTTTTTTTGCCAGTATGTGAAATGTTCCTTGTTGAGGATACTATGACTTTGGAAAAGTAGGCTTATATTAACCTGAACAGCACTGACTCCATAAGAAGATACAGTACATCTGTGATTAGCATTCATGGTCATTTATTATAATGAATAATGATGCGTGAAAAGAGATGTTACTTAGACAATCTTTTCTTCTGTCAATTAATATTTTCTTTATATAACAATTAAAGACTGCAGCTCCATAAAGTTTATTAACTGCCATACCTTACTAATTCCCATACCTTGCATTACGAAGTTATACTAATTTATGCAAATAAATGACATTCCTCTCCATAGGCAAATGAATGAATTATACAATTGCTAAACAGAATTACATGTTTGGAAAGAACATTAGTGAACTCTTGAATGGAAATGCTGAAGATACATACAATGAAAATAATGCAACCGCTGGATGTATCCAACAAAACAGCAGGGAAGAAAAGGAACCCACCATGAAAGGGTTTAATGAAGCACTCAGTAAGCAAAGAAATAAAGCATCACATTGAGCCATAAAAGCAGCAGATCAAAACTTTCATGAGCAAATCCATGTTCTGAGTGTACATGTAGAAGAAGCCTTTCAAATTTATTAAAATACACATTCTATTTTCAATTTTTAAAATAGGAATCTCTATAGGAATCTCTATAGATTAATCTCCTATTAAAATAGGAAAACTCTATAGATATACCCACACTAAAGCCTGTAATTAAAAATGTATCAAACACTAGAGTTATATGGCTAAAAGCACATGTCAGAAAGGAGCTAGGAGAATTCCAAACAGGTTTTAAAGTGAAAAAAACATTGACAGACAAGGTTTTCTGTTTGCGACATATAATCAAGTACTATGGAATAGAGCCGCATCCTGTTTGTTGATGTTAGAACAGTTTATGATAGTATGAAATGAACACGCTATTTATGATGATGATTGAAGTGTACATAATGTAAACACTTAAAGCAAATGGTAATCCTTACCAAGGCAGGTAATATAGCCAGATATGTACCCAACTGTACATTGACATATACGTTTGTTATCTTTCTTATGTGGCACTGCAGAAAACAGAAATCAAACAAATGCAGATAAAGAGGTATGCTGGTGATATATACATTGTTTCAAGATCTACAAATGCACCAGTCTAAGAATGGAATTTGAAATAATACCACTTAAATAGGTCTTGTGTTTTTTGATATTTTGCCCAACAAAAGGCAAGCAAAGCAAAAAAGACTAATGATCAGAAATTCCTGTGGTCTCCTATGCCTTGTTCCAAAATTGGGTTTATTTACTAAAGCTGGAGAGTGCAAAATCAGGCTCACTTCTACATATAACCCAATCAGCTTCTAATCCCAGCTTGTTTAATTAAGCTTTGGCAATAAACCCAGGAAGCTGATTGGTTTCTATGCCGAAGCAAGCCTGATTTTGCACTCTCCAGCTTTGTGTTTTGTGGATGTGGCTATCTTGGAAGAAGAGCAGAGCTTCTGTCTTCTCATGTTAGACCTGCCTCCTTGATCTGATGACTGTTGGGGAATGGTCAAGAAGCAACAGGAGAGGTGGAGGAACTACAGACCTGCAGAATGGACCTGCCCTGCAGGTAATTCCTCTCCAGTAAGCCTTCAAGGAGAACAATGATCAGAGAAGTAGTGACATTAACACATTTTAAGTGTAGCGCTATTTTTAAGGAAGAATTCCAGACAAAAAGGTAATATCCTTCAGTAACTGCACCAATCAACTAACATTCCTAGATGTTCTCTATTGGAACAAATGTTCGCTTTTTTAGTTTAGGTGTACGTTAAGATAGGCTTGTGAACAATTTGGAGAATAGCATGTATGTGCGCTTATTAGAAAGAAAAAACAAGATATAAAACTAGCTCTTCACACCTTCACAGGAATATTAAAATGAGCAGCTGAAATCATTCTCTTATATTGCTACAAATGTAAAATTAGAGAATATTAATGGTAAAAAAATTAAAGTGCATTTACCAATCATCACTACATAATATTTTAGCTTATAAGAACAGTTTAAATATCTATATTACTTAAAAAATGGCAAAGTTTTAGCTGCTTTAGGGCCCGTTTCCAACTCT